TTGCCAACATGTTCTCACTCCCAACTCGTCACATATTGACGCTTGCTCAGGATCCCTTGGCGTCAGTTTTTAACGCACTGGGTACCCTTTAAGCGTATTTTTTTTCAATGTGCAGGTTACTCCATTACCTCAATTGTTTGCCTTGTGCGTCAGATCCAGACGCACTTGATTCTTTGCATGCATTTGTAAAAGTAAGCACCTAACCACAACCACAATTTCTCAACAATATAAAACACGTAACAGGGCAGATAAAAGTACAGTCACAGAAATGTATTGCAAAACTGACCAGCAAACAGTATAAGTATTATAATCAACTTATGTTATATTCCAAGTCTTATGAAGCCATACAGAGTGAAACTTAAGGTTTTAATCACTCAAAATGTTAACAAAATGTTAACATTAACAAAGTCATATCTCATTCAAAAGATAAATCTTAACATTAACATGTTGCAATCGGTCACAAAACACATAAGAGTCAATGCAATTTTGCAATCAAACCTGACGTAACGCTTCTTCAGGTGGAATTTTTGATGTGTTTGTGATTTGAACATGGGAATGGGGGCCGTGATCATTTTTGGGTCTATTCCTCACGCAAATTATTGATTTGGCTTCAGAAGATCTTGAATGTTTGTCATTTTTTTAATAATAAATTGTGACTATATTTGCATACGTCTGTTATATCCTTTGTTTTATATTGACAAATGGTAAGTTTTACGGGTTGCGTTGGGTTAGGTGCTCAAAATCTAAATAGAGTAATTATACACCAATATATGATTTCTTGACTATATATTTCCAATGCCCTGTCTGTGCATTGATGTCAAAGGTATTTCTTTGAAAGTAAGACCTAGAGTACCCTGCATGATGCGCAGTGCATTAAAAAGTGACGCCTCACCAACAAAAGAGAAAAGTGTCCTGACCAAGCGTCCACATGTGACGAGTTGGGAGTGAGCACAGGTTAGATTTGCTGAGGTTCTGAGGTACAGAAAAAAACAGAAATGGAGAAAAAAATCCTTGGAAGAAACCAGGCTCAGATCAGTTCTCCTTTGGCCTAAGTGAATGCCAGAGGAGAATTGGTCGCCGCTTCTGGTCCTCCATCTGAGCCAGAGGTAAAGAGAACTGGTCCCCATCAGGCCAGAGGACACCTGGTCCCCCATCTGAGCCTGGCTTCTCCCAAGGTTTTTTTCTCCATTTCTGTCACCTGATGGAGTTTGGATTCCTTGCCACTGTCACCTTTTGGCTTGCTTAGTTGGGGCCTGAAAGACACTTAGCTTTCAGTGATTTATCGAAATGACGACACTGACACCATCAGATGAGAAGAAAACTTGATATCAGTCGTGGTACATCACACCGGCATTAGGTGGGAAAGGAAGGGTTGTAGTCTGTACAACAAAGACTTCACTAAGACTGACCCTAGAATGGGTCAAATTTGTCAGCGAGCCTCAATCTACCTGTCAGGAGCAGCAAACCAAGCAACAACTCAGTTGTTTAAAGATCAGTAATCTCGTGAGTATCTGACACTGACCATGACACACAGCACTTTGAGTGCCACATGACCTATAATTGCACTCAACTAACACCAGCCCCTCAGCCACACTCCAAGGACAGCGCTTCATCGATTCCAGCTCAACAGTCTCTTTGGAGTTCACTGAACATGCCCATGGTGCGGCCTCCTTCTCCCGCTTCTCTTTCTCTTTTTCTCTAAAGGGCGAAGGCCGGCCGTGGGCATCAAAGCTCATTTTTCTGCGGCTCCCTCAGGACCAGACTTCGGCTGTGAGCAAAGGTTAAAGCTGACGCCCCTATCAATAAGTCACTGCCTCTGACGTTCGCGCTTTCGCAAAATGTCTGCAATTCCCTCGACGCCTCGGAGGCTAATCGTATGCGTGCAGATAAATGAAAATAAATAAATAAGATCTCTCAGCACGTTAGCGGTTAGCATTGCTTGTTTTTATGTCCTGTTTCATAAAAAGGCCTCCGTTCTGTTTCTTTCTCTCCTGATGTCATTATAATAATTTGACGTTAATTGCGTTGTGCATTCGAATATCATAAAGCATAGACTAAATGCTTGGCTGTGTTTATTTATTAGACTGTAACCTGTCACTGTGGCAGAGTGTGTCACTCAGTCTTTTGATTTAGAACTTCCCCGATGATGCGCTAATAGTCTGGCACTGTGATTGGCTCACATGACAACGTTCCCATAGCATCATATTAAACCACCATGCTCTCTCTCCCTCACGCAGACCTACAAAATAGCATCAATAACCCTCCGCTGTCCTCTCTCTCTCCACTTTATTTGCAATAACTGTCAGCAGTAGAGCGATGCGTTTGTAATCTGATTTTTATGAACATACTTGTATGGACTATTGAGATCCTTTAATGCCTGAATGGGGTGCGTTGAAAAGCCGAAGCCTCCTGAATGTTAATGTGACAATAAGAGTAATGAAGCGTCCAACAGTTTATCTCTTCCCTCGCTTTCTCTCTTCCCACCCCTGTCGTTCTGATGTCTTAAACTCCAAATTTTAAGGGGGAGTTGATGAGAAATGAGGTGGAGCGGGAGACTTGGTGAAACTGTGTCTTCATTGATGGTGTCTTTAATCAAATCTTGCCGGAGCCAGAGAAAGGAAGTCAAACCTCATCTTCACCCGCTCTCAATCACCCCAAGCTTAAATAAGTCCAAAATCAATCAGCCTGTGTTTGAACTCGCTTCCGGTGATGTGTTTTTCAAGCCTCTATGAAGATGCCGCTCATCAAAACATGCTGGACTCTTCGATTGGTTTGGGTGTGTACTTTATGGTATTTTGTATCCTTTTAAGAGAAATAGCAGATTTCTTAACACTCTGCAATTGAGTGACAAAGACATAGTCCAACCCAGTCCTGTGGTAACTTCTCTGAAAAACGATGTTGTGACACTTTCAAAATGGAAAGTCTAAAAACATGTTAAATTTTATCTAAAATAGAAACACATGAATCTGGTTATGTTTTATTATGTTGGCCGTTGTATCCATCATGGCATTTCAGAAATGAAACATCCTGTAAGTTGCGCTAAATTGTTAATGCTGTATTGCAGGTGTGCCCAAACTCGGTCCTGGAGGGCCGGTGTCCTGCAGTCCAACCCCAATTAAACACACCTGAACCAGCTAATCAAGCTCTTATAGGCATACTAGAAACTTCCCAGCAGGTGTGTTGAGGCAAGTTGGAGCTAAACTCTGCAGGACATCGGCCCTCCAGGACCGAGTTTGGGCACCCCTGCTGTATTGCATTGGGTGAAAAAAAACATAGAAACTACACTAAAGTGTTAACAAGCAAATGTGAGATAAAAATGCATTTGCTGAAGCAACAGTGGCTTTTTAGCTTATTTCTTTATTTAAGCTTTAAGGCTCTTTGTGATTCGTGTTTAATGCAACTAGTAAGTGCAATGCTGTACCGGGTGCGCAACAGAGCAAGTTTACTACATTAGAAAAGCCATATAGATGGAACTGGTTATGCAATGCAAACTTAAAATTGTATTAGTTTACAAATCATGTGCTATGGTAAAAATGTTTTGAGGTCATAACATAGTATTGTGCAAGGAACTGCATGGAATTAAGTCATCATTAATTGACAATCTGCCGCTGTAATCATAATTTGCATGAAAAAGAAAAAAAGTTGTCTGTGTTTTACTGCCACTATTGTTCATTTCAGCTGGAAACTGCAGTGAAATGTGTGTAGGCCTGTAGGTACATTTTTTAATTTTTGCAAAAATGTAGGTAGAGGCACATTTTTGCAATTAGCCTGTCTTGACAGTCCCAATGAAAGCACACAATGTTGATTGAGTCTGTATTGCAATTTTGATAGGAGACATAGTTACCTTCAAATTCAGGAAGCTAGTAGCTAACAATTTAATTAACTAACTAGCGATACACATATGGACAATAACTAACTTGGACTATCTTGCTCAGCATGATTCTCTCCTTAATCTAAAAGAGCTACAACTGACTGTAGAAGAAAACCGTTAGCTCTCACTATGGTCAGCTTATGAATGCAATGCATGCTTTTGGTGCATTCAAATTTGTCTTCGGACGCATTTCTGTCAGGACCACTATAGTCAAAGATGATTGACAATTAGCATACAGTTTGGATTGGCGGTATGGTTCTGTTCTGGGCAAGAACTCCCTGCGCATCCATGCAGCCTAGCATGGATGAGAGCAGGGAGAGCAACGATAACCCCCCAGTGTAAACAGAACAGAACCAACATAAATGTATTGCAGATATCGTTAAATTTCAATAATGTTATGTACACATTTTAGAATTAGTCTGATTCAAAGGAGAATCAGAAGGCTGAATCCTGACTGACAGAGGAGGAGTTGGGGATGGAGGAGGGTAATTAGCTATTGAGCAATGCGAAAACTGCTGATAATACTGCGGGACTTTATATATGAATGCTTAGATAGGTGTCGTCTTCCCATAGGTTGATGGGGATCAGCTGAGAGTCAGCTGATGCGAGCTTGACTAACGTGACCTGCCAGAACTAACGCTACGCTAGATTTTGCAACAAATCAAGCTTGCATAGCTAGAAGCATTCATATATCAGGGTTTAGACTTCCTGTCATCAACACTGCTAAGTGCAAAGGAGGAATTTTACTGATGCTGTAAACAACAGATCACTGAGACAGCCAATGGGAACCTTCAGCACTGGCTGAATACAGAAGCATCTTTATGGAATGTCGACCAAGAAAAAAAAAATCTGCATACAAATTTCAAGGCAGCCCGGAGTTCATCTGCACTCCTGAATTATCTATTATGGAAATAATAATGACTTCAAAATGAGTTTAGGCGGGTGGCAGCTGCCTCTATGGCACACATGTGACCTAAATAGGCCAGAGGCAGGGAAAGAGTTGAAGAGGCTATTTCATGGTGCTATATGAACTCTGTGTGATATCAAGAGACCATTTATGGCTATTGTTAAGCCATTTTAAGATGGTTGCACATTTAGGTGTGTGTGGGAGTGCGAGCGTGTGACTCACCACTTCGCGGGGCAGGAAAGTGTCCTCTTGTCTGACGATGAGAAGACCTACAGTGCCTCCCATGGGAGTCGAGCGCAACAGAGCCACAACCTCCTCCTGAGTCTTACCATTCAGATCCACTCCGTTAACCTACACTCACACAACACAGAAAACATCAGAAACATGAAGATCTGACAGCCAAAGACTCCTTTTTTGTCTTAACAACAAATCCGTTTTCGTCAATGTATATTTTTCATTTTGTAAACCATATGCACTAAACCAAACACAATGATTTCTAAAACATTTTTTATATTATATAAAATAATAAATAAGTATGCACACACACATTTATTTACAGGTTAGTTTTGTATTATTTACATACTATTATAGCATTAGTATTTTTTATTTTTTTAGTTTTCATTTTTAGTTTAGGTTTTACTATTTTTGTTATTTGCTTTTGTCATTTTTATTAGTTTGTTTAATATATTTTAGATTTAATTCAGTTTTAGTTCTAGAAATTTTAGTAATTCAACTTATTTATATCAGTTAGCTGCAGGGTTATTATAGTTAACTAAAACTAAAATTAAAACCATAAAAAAGTTAACCCTAACCCTAAACATTTTAAATACTTGAAATAAATTAAACTTTAAATAAAAAAATAATAATACTAATAAAATAAAATAAAACTTTATTATTTATCTTTATTATCTTTATTAAACTTTTCCTTATTTCACATAGTTTCCGAGGCAATATTTTAAATTTTCATTTAGTTTAACTTGACCTACTATAATTAAACTAAAACTAAAACTGAAATAAAAAAATCAAAACTATATAAACATATTAAAAAAAAACTAATAAAATGACAAAAACAACAAAATTGCTAAAATTAACTGAAATTAAAAAGAAAACAAAATATAAAAATAAAAACAAATTAAAAAAACTAACATAAACAACTTTTCAATTATTTTTAGCTAAAATAACTTGCATATAATACATAATATTCCTAATATCAGAATTACTGCACATAGTATTAATATATAAATATACTGTATATATATATATATATATATATATATACACACACACACATAATTATTGATTGAACAGGTTTGAGCATCATATTAAAAACCTGTGCAAAAGTGGCACTGCTGTCAAATGTGACGTTACAGACGCTGATGTGAGTCATCTGAAAGCGTGTTTAATAAAGCAACAAATAAAACCTGAATTATATTCCGTGTAATTATATCCGATCAAGCATTACAATTAATTGCAGTCGCATTATTGTGACCATGACAACAGGAAGTACTGTCTTGATATTTCTATGGCAACATAAAGGCAAGAGGTGAAGCGAAAGCACTCTGAAAGGCCTCGACTCCATTAAAGCGATGAATCAGGGTTTGTTAAGCCAAATGGATGACGTTCTGGCTCCACGGTAGCATCTGGCATGAGAGCCTGCAGGTGTCCTGCTCCATTTCTAAATGAAATAGCCATTGTTGATTGGCTGTCACTGTAAGTAACTTTGTAATGTGATTTCGTCATTTTTATAAATTAATTTAGATTATTTTTATTTCAGTTATATCATATAGCCATATAAAATCAACATCAATATAAAAAAATATATCTAATAACTAGGGATGCACGATATTATCGAACCAATATCGGAATCGGCCGATAATGGCTTTAAATGTAAATCATGTATATATTATTATATATTACTGTCAATAACTTTATTATTGTTTATTTAATTCTAACAAATAAGTTCTTGTTAAAAACTAACC